TTTCATGTATGACAATAAACTTTTCAGTATCCACATGTGTGTATGTTTGTTATGTTTGCTTCCTTTATTGGATAAGAAAAAACATTTTGTTTTAAGCTTTAAACACTTCAATGATGGTATCAAAATCAACTTTTATTGTAACTTATTGCAAAGTGTTCAGCAGAAGATCTATCTTCTTGAAATATTTCCACTGCATAATACAGTACTTTTGTATTTAAATGTATAATACAATACTTTTAAATACATGTGCAATGTTTACAAGAGATCTCTAGAGCGTATTTAGTTTCAGTAATTCAGATTTTGTATTGACTGAAAATTTTTCATTTACCCCAGTTTCTATTACATGTAACTATTATTCTACTTTCTGATTCAATTTGAGAATTTTGGATACCTCATTAAGCAACTTAATGCGGTATTTGTCTTTTTGTACCTGGTTTATTTGATTTAGCATCATGTACTTCCAGTCTATCCATGTTATCTCATTTTAAAGTAGATTGTCTTTAAAATCTAATTCATATTCTACCACATCTAGGTGTCTCATTTTACATATCCATTATCGTTGGATGGATATTTAGGTTGATTCCACATCTTTGCTAGTTTTAATTACACTGTAATGAAAATGATAGTACTAGCATATCTCTGAGATGTTTATACAAGGGCTTTTTGACAAGTCCTTGAAGCTGGATTACTTGCTCTTACACTCTATTAATAAATAAATAAAGCCACAGTTGAACATAAATTGTCCCTGACAGTTAGCAGATAAATTGTCCAAATTTCATTCAGCTTTCAAATACTTTGGGGATAATCCACTAATTGTTTAGCACCTCCTCAGGGAGAGTCTCAAATATGAAGAAAAAAAAAAACTTCCATAAATTTTCCTCATAAATGTAATGTTAAGAATCACCTGGAAGAATCAAGAGAGAAGGTTCATTATAGGTAACAAACACAGAAAGTGTCATATGGTGCTGTATGCTGCCTGTACCTACAGAAATGGTCAGTGTGCTCTGGCTTTGCCATCTGATGTAAGAGACCAAACCTTATTCAATTCTGTGCTTTGTACAGCTCTGTTGAAGTCTGAGCAGTAAGAAGTCCTCCATTCTGTTCTCTGAATGCTAATTTTTAAATATTTTCAAATGAGTTGAGAGGGTAAGAATATTTGAAACTCATTCTTTGTGTGTGTGTTTTAGAAAATATTGAATTTCACACACACATAAAATTTTATTTCTGAGATCACCCAAAAATGGGAGGAAGAGAAACCTTCAAGGATGATGATTTTTTTTTTAATGATAGAATGTGAAACTTCAGTGACTCAGTGTTTTTATTTATTTATTTATTTATTTATATTTTTTAGTTTTCGGCAGACACAAAATCTTTGTTTGTATGTGGTGCTGAGGATCCAACCCGGGCCGCATGCATGCCAGGCAAGCGCGCTACCGCTTGAGCCACATCCCCAGCCCTGACTCAGTGTTTTGTTCTGATATTCTTCCAAACATTTGGTTATTTAGTGACCCTAGGCCCTTCCAGTGATCCTTTTAAAAATCAATTTAAATTTTAATAATTATGAAAATATGTATCTCATCTCATCTGTTACTCACCTGTTGATGAAGAAGAGCTGGTTACAATTCACAATTATATGTGAAAGGTATTCTATGAAAAATAGAAGACCTTTATGTTTCCAGTTTTATGGTGGTGGTAAATGTTCATTTTGCAGTGGAATCTGAAAAAAAACTTTTCTCAGACAACAGCACTAAAAATTAAAATGCCAGTATTCAGTAGATGGTCAACTATGAAAGAGCAATTTTTTTTAATCTCCATTGAAGTCCCAATCCAGTAAACAGAAAAGAAATTTATTTCCTTACCTTTTTGACACTGATCGTGTACACTTCTTTATTTGTAGTTTTTCATTATTAGAAATTATATCAAACAGTAACAACAAAAGACAGGCTTTACATTGTTTCTTATTGTACTTAGGTATTTCTTGAATGTTGTACTCTGATATTCTTTAACATACTTATGATTAAAGAAAGGTGTGTGCTTGGGACAAGGTTGATTATCAGTTAGCCACAGCCATGCAAGCAAAATTGTCCATTAGTTAAATGTCAATTACATGTAATCAGCTTTATGTATAATGTGATAAAATTTCATGATTCTCTTTCCTCATAGCTGATTTACACACTGTACTCAATAAATTTTTCACTATAAAATGTGTCATTTCTAATTTTTAATGTATAAGCTATTTATGATCATTTTGCACCAGTGATAATTACCTTAAATGCCATGCACCTACTTCTATGCTATATTTTTCAAACCTCAGGCTATTAGAAATATTCTGAGACATTTTGTTTACTTAAGCACAAATTTTATGCATTAATGGTTATATCATATTTGGAAGGCGTACTTATGCCCTCAGCACCAAAAAGATTTCAAATCACAATTAGGAATCTGTATGTATGTGTGTATATATATATATGTATATATATATATACATATATATATATAT